AAAAAACACCTGGGTTTTCACGGGTTTTATGGTGTTTTTCTGACAAACGGTTTTAACAAAAAAAAAAAACAATTTAAGGCTCTTTAAGTCTATCCAGGCAGCCCGACGACAGCTTCTTGAAAGCCGTTTGCGAAAACACCGCTCGGATAGCGCTTAAACCGGTTAAATTGAGTTTTGACAAAAAAGCGTGTCCTTTCTGCCTAAAAAATGCCAAAAATAAAAAATCCGGAGTTGAGAAAAACAGAGCAACGTGATCTTTTAATCTTGCGATGGACACCTAGATCGTAAAAATCCGACACGACTGCGGCCGGCTAGAGGGGGAGACGTGATTTTTTAGGACACCCTATAAAGCATCGAATTTATTTCAGTCCGGCCCGTACGCCGTGTTCATGGACGAAGAGGAGACGCTGATGCTCGGCGCGGTGAACAAGGAGGATGCACCGCCGTTGAGTCCCGTTCCGGCTAGTCCCAGTCCCTCATCGGCCGCTACAAAAGGAACCGACGAGGGGCCTCCTGCTCCCAATGAGGTATCAACCCCGGTTCTTGTTGGTTAGCGGGGGGGGCTCCCTTTGAGCGAACCAGAACCTCCCAATCAGACCCGTACGGAAGCAGAGATTTCGGGGATGGGGCACTCAACGCAAAAAATTTTGGTGACCCCTCTGCCCGTCGCCACTTTCAAAACGTTCGAAAATACCGTCAATAACAGCGCTACAGGCAAACAAATTTAGAAAAATACGCTCAAAACCGTGTGAAAACGATTTATGGTCAATTGCTGCACTAATGAATAACCAGCGCCGCAGGCCGAAAAATTTTGTAAAAATAGGTTTCACTGAAGTAAAAACTGTCTTCAAAACAGTAATAAACAGCGCCGCAGGCAGGAAAAATTTACATGCCCCGGTGCCCCCCCCCCTCGTACGGGCCTGCTTCGAATGGACACGAGGTATTGGTATGTGCGGACTTCAACACCTCACTAGGTCGACAGGGCATACCCGAAATAAACCCCCCCCCCCACCCTCTAGTCGTTGGCCGATTTTGCGATTTAGGTAACTATCGCTAGCTTTCAAAAGGCGACTCCATCACGTCACTCCGTTTCCTTAAATTTTGGGCTTTTTTTGCTCGATTTTCGGCATTTTCAAGGAAAAAGGCGACGCTTTTCGACAAAAACTCAATTTAGCCTGTTTTAGCACTATTAAAGCTGTCTTGGGAAAATTGCGTTATATGGTCACTAAACGGATTTTGGATTTTTATATACCAAAATGCTCAGCAGTTCGAGCTGGTTCAGGATCAGTTGAAAAAACTATTGTGAAACACTTCTGGAGCGAGTTATAACACTTCAAAGTTGGCGAGTGTCGTATATGGTCACTAAACGGATTTTCGATTTTTATATGTCAAAACGCTCAGCAGGTCGAGCTGATTCTAGAACAGTTGAAAAAACCTTTGGGAAAAATCTCTGACGCGAGATATCTAACTTACAAACCGTCCATTCAGCCCCTGAAGTAGTACGTAGTACACCAAAATACGCCAACTGTACATCGGAAAGAAACGGAATGGTGGAGAATTGCCGTTTCAAGGGACCTACAGCCTCAAGGGAAGGTTTTTAAGGTACGTATGATACGTCATTAGGTGCGTAATGGTCCCGAGATGGGTGCACACATATAAAATTGAAGAAAATCGGCTGTTTTCGCTATTACAATTAAGTTTTTGTAAATATATCAAAAAACCTCTTTGTTAGGAGGCAATTAGCATTGACCGGAAGTGGCCGTAGCCTATAAAAATGGAGGGAGCGTGCGCTTTTCATTTTTTGGTGAGCGGCATTCGGCAAGCCCTATGTAAAGTCAAATTTTCAGAAGTCCTAGACCAGTCCAGGGTTGAAAAGCCGCGAAGCGGTTTTTCAACCCTGGTTTTGGTATATAAAAATCCAAAATCCGTTTAGTGACCATATAGCGCAATTTAGCCGCTGTCTTTGCTCCACGGCTTTCAGAAGCGGTCATTGGGCTGCCAGGAAAGGCTTAATAAATTCCGAAGCCTTGTGCTCAGAAAAGCACTAGAAAATCCGCCAGTTTTCGAAAAACATTCGTAAATGTTAGAAAAGTGTCAAAATTTTGAGAGTGCAAGAGATCTGCTGGACTGGCTTTTCCGTGGGCTCTCCATAGATACCTAAATCGTAAAAATCTAAATCGTAATCCGGCTAGGGCGGGGGAGTGATTTTTTTGCGACACCCTGTAGTTGGACACCTGCCCCCGCTAACAAACTAGAACCTCTGGGCGGCCGATCCGATTGTCTAACTAAATTCCGCCTGTTCAGATAGAGCCGCCCGGACTCAAATCTGAGGACAACGGTCGCATGCGTCGCCAAGTCACCACGAAGCTTCAATACCCACGATGCATCGATGTAACGGGATTAGAGGTAATCGTCAGCAGAGCAACATGTCCAAAGTGTCCACAATTGGAAACGAGCTTGCTCATCCGATTTTTCTAATAATTATTGAACGCTTTTAGAAAGAAGACCTGGAACGTGTCAAAAAAGACGCAATGCTGGACTGCAGCAAGAACATCTTCGTCCAGTTCCGCAACGGCAACACGAGCGGTCTCGCCATTACCCCGCCGCCGTGTCAAGGGGTCAACGACACTGTAGGGCGCCTCGATGAGTTTTTCATAGCCATCCGGAGCGAAGGGCGTAAAATGAAATTCTTTCCAGAGAATCTGCACCCACCGAAGTGGACCCGCCACTGGCCCGCCAGTCCCCGCAGCTACTACCGTTGTTGCTCCCCTCGCGAGTGAAATGATGATCGGGTTAGGAGCCGGTGAGTATAACATCTCTCCCATTTTTTTCGACTCTTACGAGCATCCGACTTTAGCTGGAGCCGGAGTGGTGGTGCTGATCGGTTGCGGTGTTCTACTCGGTTGCATAATAAAGAAGTAGGGCAATCTGTTTCTGTGGATACAAGTCATGCTTTTAGGAAGAAGCGCGAGAAGGAGGGGAACTTGGAGAGAGTGGCAGTCGAGTCACCGACGGCTTCAAGCGGTGCCGAGACACCACCCGCGGCTGCTGCTTCCGTTCCGGCCGTCGTCGAATCACCCGCCGTGGCTCCTTCGCCCGCCCCGGTCGTCACCGAGCCAGCCCCGAGCGCTCCTAAACCGAATCCGGCAGCCGTCGAACAGACTCCGGCCGTCGCCAAGCCGACCCCTGCCCCCGTCGAACCTGCCCCGGCCGCCAACCCACCCCGCCCAGCCAATGCTCAATTGACCCAGAAGACGCAGCCATCAGACCCACCCCGCCAAGCCAATGCTCAATTGACCCAGAAGACGCAGCCAACAGAAATTGTGAACCTCGCCGATGGCCACTACAAGCTCATCACATCCAACCTTGAGGGAGGACACGCTGCCCATCTCAAGAACATGGTACGTCGGTTACGAAATTCTGGCTCACTTCGGCCTGTGCCACACTGAAATCGTAACATGCGATGGAACTTTTACCAGACATGCAAAGCCTTCAGGCTCTGGGCTGTTAGTGAGGGGGGGGGGTAGCAGATGGGGAGCCAGTTGTTTCCACCTATACGTGCCCGTCGATAATATAGAAAGTATTTCTACTGTTTTTAGTAATTTTTGGATGCTAGAAAATTATGAAGAAAAAATATATTTTAACAGTATCAGGATTTGAGTGTAAAAATTCGAAAATTGCCGGCTTATTTGGCCACTGCGCAGATTTTTGATCAAAATTGAAGCATCTTTGCGAAACGCTTAGAATTTTTTATACAGCTTGGATGTAGTATGTTGTAAAAATTCTTTATGTTTTATCGTATGAAATTCTGGAGGAAAAGTTGCTCTCACCCCCGAATCATCATGCGATGTTTTAGACCGAAGGTACGCCGCGCCCAATCAAACGTCAATCGGGCCGCTACGATCTGGCTGCGAGCGGATTTGCGTTGAGAATCGATCTCGAAAAGTTTGTGGGTGCTAGTTTGCTAGAAATATCAAGCTGTTTTTAAGTTAGACCGAGGCCTCGATATCTATCGATATTTCTAATGCACCGTTCAGAAAGAGTGGAAGTCGAAGCAAGTCGCCAAGCCCGAGAACAAGCCCGAGACGACCCTTCGGAAAGTATGTCACATGGGCAGTCACACAGCGCAGAAGATGATCGAGGAGTTCGGCAGTGAAATTTATTTGGCAGAGGAGAACGACAAGGCAAGAATTTTTGATTTTAATTTCTAACTTGGGGGCATGCAAAAATGCGCTCCAATCTCCGAGCGATGTTGCGGGTAGTTGGGGCTGGCTTGCGGGCGAGTTTTGGTTTAAAAAGCGATGTCCCGGTCGCCGAAATTGGCTTCGTGCAGTTTTCGACGCTATTTCTTGACGCGATCTGAAAGCATAGTCGAATTAATAGGGATGTATAATTTTGAAAGTTTGAAAGTGGAAAATGGCCGCGAAGCGGTCTTTTTCCACTGGTCACAGAAATAAGCAGTGCTCCAAAAATTAGATTGTTACAAATTTTCAGATTTTCGGATCAATATTTTTCGAGAGTTTTTAGGGTCGGCAGTTTTAACGTTCCCTTGAACTTTGAAATTAAAACTTAGAAAGATTTAATTTTGAAAGTGCCGAATTGCAAAAATACCTGCAGCCGTTCTATCGCCCGGACGCCGATGAGTTGGAAAGCCTGTGCACAACCATTACCGGCCACATTGCGCATGCAGAGAACGGAGTGGTGAGGCCGCAGGGACGGACGATTGTCGTCGGCGACATCCATGGAAATGTGGGCATTTGTTAGCTTTGAGTATTTTCGACCACTACGACAATTTCTTGTTGTTCGCGGTGAAAATGTAATTTTCAGTTGAACGATCTTTGGCGCATCATCCATGCCTGGCTGTCGGATGTGGTTGGAAAAGGGCCCGGACAAAAGTGGCGTTTCGAGTTGTATTTCCGACCATGAAATGGTTCAGCATCGTCTTCCTGGGAGACATTATCGATAGTGGCCCTCGTCAACTCGAATGTTTGACTCTGATCATGTCCTACAAAGTGCTCTTCCCCAAACAGGTAACCGACAACCCCTCCCTTCCTTTTACACCTAAAGGTGCATTTCGCTCCGGTTCTGAAACCCCGTTCAGTGGCGGGAATTTGGCTGCTTGGCATGCATTATTGTTGGCAGCGCTTCCTGGTGTAAAATTAACCAGTGGCAAAAGCCCGCTTCGTGGCTCTTTTCCACTGGACCCCGCCCAGGAACCATGAGTTTGAATGAACCATGTTTCGAACCATGCGGAGGGTGACCCAATGATGCTAGGAGATAGGTGACCCACTTTACAAAATTCCATTTTTGAGTCTGAATCCGTAAAAATTTGTATAGATAATAAGAGCGTCTGACGGCCGAGAAGCTAACTGCACAGAAAACAGACATATTTTCTCGTTTATAGGATAAGATGGTTAATAGGCTATTTGCGGCGTTCAGAAAACAAAAGGAACCTTTGTACAACAATAGCAAAATAAAAGTCGTGCTCGTGTTCGAACGTTCGAGCCCTCGTTAGATTCCTCCAACGCCGCCCCACTACACCACTGGTCCACCAGGACATGGTGCATGGCTGGGTTCTTTAGGATTCCCGGGGGGGGGGAAGTATTCCCGGGGAAAACAAATTTTTTTCGGCGAAAGCCTAGATTTTTGTATAAATTGCGGATGCGTTTCTAAATTGTTTTTAACTATTCCTGTGCATAAAAACTACACACATTTTAACCAAAAAAATGTAAAAAATTAAAAATTAGGTCGAAAAATAGACGCAAAATGACCAAATTTTCGACTTTTTCAAACGTTTTTCTAAATTTTTCTGAAAGTTATTCCGCTCTAAATATAGTTAAAACTTACTAAAAACAATTCGAAAACACTTTATATTTGATTACTAGGCCAACCGGGACCACCAGGAAAAATTGGTTCCCCCCGGGAATACTTTCCCCCGGGAATCCTAAAGAACCCATGGCTGTTACCCTCTCTTTCAGGTGTGGATCATCCGTGGCCATAAAGAGGAGGCAGAGATCTGCTTGTCCTTCTTCGAGCTGCTGAAGAAGTACGGGTACGGGCAGGACCTGATCAACATTATTACCGACCTCTTCACCCACCTGCCGGTTGCCGGGCTGATTGACGGGCGGATCCTCTGCATGCATGGCATGATTCGTGGGTTTTAATCGCTTTAGTCGAACACGGTAGGTGATTGGCCATTAGCCACCAATATTCCGCTTTGGTATCCATTTCGGGCATTTTTAAAGGTCCAGGGGAATCGGAGAATTTGTTGGAACCTGCTTTGGTACTGCACTCTTAGCGGGGGGTCTAGTTTAGGGGTCGGAACAATTTTTTCACTAGATTGAAAAAGCCAATAAAATCTGACGAAAATTTTTTGACAACTTTGGCCTTATGCGTTTAACGTGCATGAATTTTCGCATCGCCAAAGTCGTCAAAGTTTACTATTTTTCCAAATTTTTGAATATTTTTAAATGCAACTAAAACCTACTCAAAATACGATAAAATAGTATATCTTCCGGTATAGGTCAAGCGGTTCCCACCCCGCTAACAGTCCAGTACCTCTGGTTTCGTCTTAATCCATAGTCACCACCATCCATTTCAGCCATGGAACTGACACCAGAGCTCCTTGAAAGTGGGTGGGAGCCGTGGCAAAACACGCGCAAGGTGTTAAACACGGCAATGACATGGAACAATCCCATGGAAGACCTCAAAGGGTACGTTGCCTTTTCTTGGATTACCAGATGGTTACCGTCGCTTCGCGACTGTAACCATCTGGCTTTCGGGCTACCCTTCATGTAATACACCATGACATCCATCCCTACCTCCATCAATACCCACGCTAATGGCTACAGATGCCTGCCATAGCCGCAACGCCCTAAAGCTACTAAGATACCTTCCTGATAGCCTTCGATACCCCCCCCATAGCCAAAACCCCCTTCAAAAACTGCCTGGACACCTTCCTGATGGCCTTCGATACCCCCACCCCCATAGCTAAATAAAAATAATTAACTTTGAAAGTGACGCCTTAACAATACGAGTGGAAGCCCCTTTCCCGGTAGGTCACGCCCCCTTTCCCAGCCCCCCTTCTCCAGGCCTTCCCCCGCGCACAGATCGCTTTTGTAAGTTCCTTTAATACTTTTTATTTATTTTAATTCATTATTTAAATCATTTAAAGTATCTAAAGCCATCAGAAAGGTATCAAAGAGTGTTTTAAGGGGGTTTCGGCTATGGGGGGGTATTTGAAGCCATCCGGAAGGTATTTAGGTAGTTTTTAAAGGGGGGTTTTGAGCTATGGGAGGATCTGAAGCCGTTAGCGTGGGTAGTGATGGAGGTAATAAAGGCTGTGGTGGTGTAAGAAAGGTCTTATTATATTTTTTGATGCTATATGAAAACGCATCAAGAAAACCGCCAGCAAAAATCGCGAAAATATCTAAAAAAAAACCCTGCTGTTTTGCACCCGGCTAACAAGGGAAGGGCGAATGCGCGATCTCGAAATTCGAAAAACGCTCGCGGCTACCCCCGGGTTATCGACTGCGGGGAACACGATGGTGTTGGCAGAATTTTCCACCGAGCCCTGTAGAGCGAGATGCATGCGATAAAAACGGTCGGTCTCGCTTTTTGAAATACCAACAAGAGTTCGGATCCACCCGTAAATTTTTGTTTTTGCTTTTTTGGGGGCAATTTGCAACATGCGATTACCGGTCGCCAGCTTTCAGTGTGCATATTTTTTTTTGCTTTGGAGCTCGGAGCTTGCAAACAAAATTATTTGAAGCGTTGGGAAATTACTGTCAATGCCAGGCAAAAATAGCGCTCCAATAAGCAAAAAAAAATTACGAGTGGAAGCGAACCCTCGTTGGTATTTCAAAAAGCGAGACCGTTAGCACTCGACTAACTCACCGACAGTGGTAGATGCTTGGAAGCTCTTAATAAATCTCAGAAATTATTCTAATTTATCGCATGCAAATGATCCTTTTTCCGGAAGTACCGTATCTCGCTCTACAGGGCTCGGTGGAAAATTCTGCCAACACCATCGTGTTTCCCGTAGTCGATAACCCGGGGGTAGCCGCGAGCGTTTTTCGAATTTCGAGATCGCGCATTCGCCCTTCCCTTGTAAATAGAAGAGTATCAACAAAATTGAAAAATTAACGAACGAAAATTCGAGCGAAAGTCAAAAAAATAAGAAAAAATAAGTTGCATAGCATTAAAAATAGTCTTAAAAAGCGTGAGGCCGACATTACGCAACGTCCCTGCTATACAGCTCGCACCCAATTTCCGCACGGATTGGTGCCTTACGGCGAAATACCGACGGCTCCTTTTTGGGGGCACCCCGTACAAGCCGGAATCTGGGTTTTTGTTGATGCTTTGCTTTTAGCTACCCGCCCAACAAGAAGCTCCATCCCGGGCATCGTCTGGGCACCGAATTGATCACAAACCAGATGAAATGGCTTGACGTCGAGTTCGTGATCCGAGGCCACCAGGTTACACAACGGCTCCATCGTCATCCTCTTTGCAGGTGATGACGAACGGCGTGCGACGGCTCGGTGACCTCCCGTTGGCTACTGTCTTCTCCACATCAGGCCACGAGCTCGGGGTACCCACTTGCTATGCTAGTGCCTTCTGCCCTGAACTAAAGCCATTTTTCCACCAAAATTTTGACATTTTAGTTGTTTTCATGTTTTCTCCGCAAACTTAACTAAATTTTATTGAAACTCGTAAAAACTTTCACAAAAGCAAAATTTCTACTAAAGGAACCTACCAGCCGCAACTTTTCAGCCATACGTCCTATATTAATGCATGGACTATCTCAAAATGTTAGCCGTGGTTGTACTACCATTAAATCATAGCTTTCTTACATCAAAACCCGCTAAAAAAACTTTTATAACAATTAAAGCCTTTAGTCCCAGCCTATAAAAGCTTTTCATGTCTTAAAATCTTGTAAAAAATTTCTCGCAATTTTTGACGTACCGAAAAACTTTTTTGGAGTAATTCGGCCACGGCGAGCATTTTGAGATACTCTGCGCATTAATAGGCCTTTGGCTGAAAAATTGGGGGTGTTGTGGGGGAGGGGGTTCCAGACTCTTACCCATGGCTCCGCTTTTCTAGCCAAATCTCGGCGCCATCCTCTTCGTCGACCCCGAGGAGAATGCCATCGTGCCGATCTTCATCGTCAACATTAGACACACAAGCATCAAGAGTGAGTTTCAAAACTGGTGTCGTTAAACTGATGCCGGAAATTAAACTATTTCCGAGCCTAAAAATCATTTGTGAGGGGTGTTAAAACAACCCTACAACTGGCACCGCAAAATTTACTAACTGAAGCATATACACTTCCCTTGTCCGGGTCAAATTTTGGGATCTTTTTGACGGACAACCCGCATAAGTTTCTATCTTTTTGATTTCAGCGCAAAAGGACTTCGACAAGAAGCTCGCTGAGGGATGGAAAGTCGATGATTACGCTCGCCCGCTGCCGTAAGTCATGCGCTCCACACGCCTCTAAATTTGTAAACCGAACGAATTGGGCGTTTTGCAGCGTCGAACGGGCGGTGACGGAGAAAAAGGAAGCGAAGGAAGCGAAGGAAGCGACGGAAGCGAAGGAAGCGAAGGAAGCGAAGGAACCGAAGGAAGAGGGCAAGAAATGAGAAGCACAAATCAACGCATCACCGAGCCAACCCCCGACCATCATCGTTCCACAGAAAATATCCGTACTTTTCTCCTGTGGAAATACTCGTCTGTACCCAGTCTATACCGTATCCCATTCGTATCGTCGCTTGTGTTGCTGTGCATTTTTTCTGGGAATAAACCGTGAAAAACGTGCTTGTCTTGAATTGCCTTACAAAACAAATTGTCGTTTGAATGATGAAACCTTCTCGGGCCGTTGCAGCTGTACCCCAACGTTCAGAAAGTATTTTGCGTAAGTTTGAATTGAGGTTTAATCTTATTGGGCCTCAACGTTCATTGTTGAGTATCCCATAAACACTTCCGGTATTAAAGGGTAGAGCAACTTCATCTATTATTCAGGCAATCCCTGGAAACGAACACGCTGCAAAAAAGCTTGCCGCAACCCTACTTGAACTATAGGGTGTCCCAATAAAAAAATTCGAAACAGAAGTATCTGATTGGGATGATAGTTACACCCCTCGAACGCCCTTCAAACGGCGAGTTTGCACTAATTTTCAAAGCCATGTTTTTATTGAAACGCCGGTTTTAAAACGCATTTAAAAACATTGAGAAACGGCTTCTGCATTTAATTAACGGCTACTTCCGGTCATTTTGTATGGAGAAATTGAGGCCGCTTAGCTCGTATGCAACCCTGACAAGCGGTATTTTACAAAATGGCTTGTAAAATTGAGCATTGAAATAACAACACGGTTTTGAAGATTGTCGCAAACTCGCCGTTTGAAGGGCTGTGTAACTATCAGGGACGTAGCGTAATACCGGCCCCGAAATCGGCCGGGGCCCGAAAATTTCATAAGGGGGGACCCTTATGATTTTCATTTTCTCAAAAATTTTGCTGCCTGCGGCGCTATTTTTTTACTTTTTTACGGCTATTTGTAGAGCTATGTAACCTTTTTTTCCAAAAATTTTGCCTGCGGCGCTGTTTTCTCGTTAATGTTTTGTGGTTTTTGGAAAAAATTTTTGGGGCCCCCCCCGAAATTTTTTTCTGGCTACGCCCCTGGTAACTATCATGCGATCCGATAATTCCGAGTCGAGTTAGAGGGGTCTGTTTTTTTTTATTGGGACACCCTGTAACTTGTGTTTATTTTAAGCCCTCTGACTATTTTGTAAGGTGGTTTCTATCTAAATAATAATTGCGGAGAAAGTTACTTTCACCTTTAATACCGGAGCTGTTTATGGGCAGCTCCATTCACGAGCGAAAATCACGACGAACTGGTATGTCTTGTGCAATGAATTCAACGTAATTCTGTGTTCGTGTATCCCAGAGCGGGGGGCGGAATCGCATTTGGTGAGACAAAACAATGGTGATTCACAAACCGGGAAGCGCCACCAAGTCTTGCCGACATTAAGCTGAACTTGCCGGGGCCAAACTCGCCGCCAATGTCAATGTTGAAACAGCAATTTTAATGGCCGTGTTTTCGAGCCCTTGGTCCAGTCTCTTACACAAGAAATTCAAATTCGGGCGTATAAAAAGGGGCAGGTTTCTCTTGAACACACCATTCCCGTCCACTTCACAACACTCAACAAGAAAATGAAGAACTCAGCCCTGATTCGAATTTTCCTTCTCTTACTACTCGTTGGCTTGGCCCTAGGTGGCCCAACGCTCTACGCCTTCTGTGTCGGAGGTAGGTTGTCTTTTTCGTCCGAAATTTGGGCTGCGGTGGATTTTACCGCACTCCCGAGGGTCCCAAAATGTTGGAGATTTTATCTTTTTCGAATTTTTTTTAGGACACCATTCGATAAAGCTTCGAAAAATATACTAACAAGGGAACCTCAAGTTGACACGGTGGAGTTAGGAAAAACGCTCGCGGCTACCCCTAGGTTTCGACTATGACGATTCCAACGGTCTGGTCAGAATTTCCTAAATGGACCTCTGGACAGAGATACAGCACTTCCGGAAAATGATGATTTACATCCGAGAAATTAGCATTAGCGGTAGGTTTATGAGGCTCTCCCAGCACTAGGAATCATCAGTTGAATGGCCGAGTGGTAAGCGACTCACTTGATAGGATACTGACGAGGGTTCGAGTCCGCTCACGATTTTTTATTTTGCTTTTTGATCGCAACTTTCTGCCCAAATCCACTTTTGGTTACTTTTTTTCGAAAAGTCGTTCTCTTTCTAAAACGTCTAAAAGCATTGGCAAAGCCAAAAAAATGCAAAAAAATATCATCCAAGTAAATCATAGTGGCCCATCTGTAAGGAAAAACCGGAATATGGGTAGACCCCATTTGTTGAATTTCGAACGAGTTTTGAGGCTTCTTGAGAGAAATCAGCCTGGGGCCATAACCAAAAATTTTTCCTATAGTAAAAATCAAAAGTTGGAGTTGGGCAGAAAGTTGCGAGCAAAAAGCAAAATAAAAAATCGTGAGCGGATTCGAACCCTCGTCAGTATCCTATCAAGCGAGTCGCTTACCACTCGGCCATTCAACTGGTGATTCCATAGAGCTGGGAGAGCCTCATAAACCTATCGCTAATGCTAATTTCTCGGATTTAAATTATCATTTTCCGGAAGTGTTGTATCTCTGTCCAGAGGTCCATTTAGGAAATTCTGACCAGACCGTTGGAATCGCCATAGTCGAAAACCTAGGGGTAGCCGCGAGCGTTTTTCCTAACTCCACCGTGTCAACTTGAGGTTCCCTTGTAAATGCTTTAATGGTATGAACTGTGTTATTTATTTTCGGGAATAACAGTTGGCCCTATGGCTACCGAATGGTGCTCTTAAACATTTTTTTTGAGGGCCTTTCTCTCCTTTACTTTACGCTTATTTAGGGTGCGCCGCCATTTGTACCGGCGGCACGCTCATCAGCGGGATTGGGGCTGCTGGAGCTCCAATGTGCCTCAAGTTGTGCCTCGAAGGGTGTTTGGCTACCGGCGTTCTACCGACTCCCTGAACTCTGTCTTTGCTCTACCCGATTTCTCCTAATAAAGTTTCAGAAAATAAGTTCCAGCTTTGGTTGAAGGGTCAAGCCACCCGACTTTTATATTTTTTCCGTGATACTCGATTAATATGAATGGCTTCGATCTGAAATGGCCCTGGACTCAGATAAATCTGTTGTTTTAGATGGACGGAAAGGATGAAAACTTGCCCCCAGCCTCTCCACCGTTCACATGGAACTTCTTCCCAGCCGCATGGAATGCAGGAGGAGTCGGAGGTGTACTTGCAGCCACTGCTGGATTTACTGTAGTGATGGGAGGTGGACTCGTCGGCATGGCACTCGGAGCTCTTGGATTCATCTCATAAGCCATTTAATGCGATCCTGGGACTTTTTTCGATAAATAAGTGTAAAAACAAGTGACTCAAAATGTCTAAAGAAAAATGTGCATCGTTTATCGATTTGACCTTTAGGTCAAAGATAAAGCGTATATTTTATAAAAACGTTAAAAAGCGTAATTTAATAAAACTCTCGAAACAATATTAAGTCTGCGCTGTATGTAGGTTTGGCTTGCTGGCTTCTGCTTAATCTCGAAGACGCATCGTAATATGCCACTTTGGGCAAAATGGGGCCGAAGCGGTCGGAAAATTGCATGGTTCAGCTGGGAAATTATTAGCGTGTTCACGAGAACAACTGAGAAAAAAAGGCAAATAATAGAAATTTTTCTAAATACATCAGAGAACAATTAACCACAGAATCAGTGAAGCGTTTCCTTTCGATTCCGCTCATAGCCCAGCAGGGGCGTAGCCAGAAAAAAATTTCGGGGGCCCCGAAAAATTTTTTCCGAAAACTCAAACAATTAAAAAGAAAACAGCGCCGCAGGCAAAAAAATTTAGAAACAAGGCTATGTAGCTCTACAAATAGTCGTAAAAACGTGAAAAAATAGCGCCGCAGGCAGCAAAATTTTTGAGAAAATAAAAATCATAAGGGTCCCCCCTTATGAAATTTTCGGGCCCCGGCCGATTTCGGGGGGCACCGGGCCCAGGGGGCCCACCTTACGCTACGTCCCTGTAGCCCAGCATAGTAGGTTTTATTAGGAGCGGCATATGCGATTCTGGCTAGACGAAGCTCCCGTGATCACCGAGAAAACATTGATGTAATGGCCACAGACACGGAGTTTGTCGTGCCGATGAAAAATAGCCAGAGTACACTGCGTAATTCCTGTGAAAACGCGAACCAAATCCAAAGTGTCGTCACGGAGAGCAACTTCGTGCAGAGTCCGGAGAAAAACTAAACGGTTTATCCCTTAGCGCCTTGCAGAACATCTCAAGGCCGCCTACTTTTCCGCAAAATCGCCGCGAAGCGGCATTTTTGATGCGCAGAGGGTATGCTATCGAAATTGTCCATATTCCCAAATAATTGTAACTTACAAAAGCCACAACCTGCCAGGTGCCCTCAACCATCACAATGGTGCCGGTCTAAATATAATTCCCCGCTTCGAGATTAATGTCGGGTTACCTGGGCGCCGATCATTAAAGTCGTGAACAGAAATGTATACAAACTCACGAAACAAAGCTTTATTTCCACCTTAAAAGCTGATTGACTACGCCGATATTGGTTCTGTTGCATTATCGGGGGCAGGGGGGGAGCAGACCACTTTTAAAAAGTTCCGATGGTTCTATTTCATAGAAAGGACGTCTTTCTAAGCTGCTTTTTTTTCACTGTTATAAACGCAAAAATACTAAAAATTCCTTAACAGTAAAAGACCTAGCTTTTTGACACCAAAAATTGCCGGTTTTGGACCAAAGCTGAAATTAATTTTTTCTCTGAGCTTTTTTTGATCGATTTTTCGCTTAAAATATAGTTAAATTTTACCAAAAACAGGATTAAAACACTAATTTTGACGCTACTAGGCATTTTTCCACTAGCAGTTCAAAATTTGCAAAAAATTTCGCTTTATTAGGGTAAATTCGGTCTCCCCCCCCCCCCCCCCCCCGAAAATGCCAAAGAACCCCAGATTTTTAACGTACCGCCGAGATCTTCTTGATTCCCTGCTTAACGTCCATGGTAGCTGACATCGGTAAAA